AAGTTAAAATAAATGATTAGATAAATAATAATAATAATATTGATTGTAACTTATGATATAAATAAGTTGGAGTGAATTTCACCATGGTGTGATACTATGGAAAAAAGACATACAAACAATCACACAAAAATATACAAGTCACACAAAAATCACACAAGAATAAAGTACTTTTAAAAATATAAATAAAGAAAGATAAAAAAAGATAAGGAGACTGTACAGAATACGGGAGTGCATTAATGTAATGCATATATACAGATATAAATACATGTATTAATTCACTTATACCCAAGTATGCATTAGAAATTGCATGAAACTACAATTATCTCTCAAAACCTTCATGTTGTTGAGTGTGAAGAAATCCACCATGCTCACTACTTGCCCTTTAAACTGAGAAGGCGGATCTATGAGGAGGAGGAGGAGGAGGAGGAGGAGGAAGGGGGAGTTGACCGGTGTGTACGTGTGGCCTCTCCGCCGCTGCAGTCGCCTCCTCATCGGGCCAGACTGCAGAACACACGGGGCGAGCATAGGTGCTCACTAGGGGGGGGCTCAAACATGGTGAAAATAACCACAGTGAAGACCAAGCCGTACACGGACCAGAAGCCCGGGACGAGCGGGCTGAGGAAGCGGGTCACGGTGTTCCAGCAGAACCAGCACTACGCGGAGAACTTCATCCAGAGCATTATCTCTGTCATCGAGCCCGCCGAGCGCCAGGCGGCCTCTCTGGTGGTGGGAGGAGATGGCAGGTTTTTCATGAAAGACGCGATTCAGTTGATCGTCCAGATTGCTGCTGCCAACGGGGTCAGTCAGTGGGAGAGTTGTTCACCTCTCTCTCTCTCCTCTTCCTCCTTCCTCCTCTTCCTCTGTGCGCTAGCGAGTTAGCTCCGTTAGCTAAAAATACACCAGGTCAGCGTCAAGCTAGCTGTCAAGCTTTGTCAACTTCAGTATCATTTTTTTTTAAATTTATTTAACGTTACACTTACTTACACTTACTGTACTGTGTGGTATTTTATGTGTAATTGTAGCTGTTTTAACTAGTTATCTACCAGGAGAGGTCGAGTACTGGTTATTTGTAATGAAAGTACCCAAATAAATGACTAATGTAACCAAGATACAGTAATTATGCATTCACAGATGTGGTTAAGCCTTTTTTTTTAAAATGTTTTAGATTCAAACGTATTCAGTCAACTTTCATTTAAGTGATGCATTGTTATAAAAATGAATATAAAGCTTAAGTTACATGCTGCTGCAAGCTTTCCCTCCCTCCCTCCCTTTGCATGACAAGGAAGACAGTTGGAGAAATGATGGCATTCCTGCCTCTACTTGCCATGCCTTTGATATTAGACATTGGCCTGATGATTTCTCACTCAGATTGTGTTCATGAAAATCTACTCGACGACTCTCATGAGGTACAGGTGTCGCCTGCACCGGTCTCCTATGCCAACATGACCGCGGTGATCTTTTGGATAAAGAGCACGCAGGAGGCCACTTGAATATCAAACTATCACCTTTGACATTTAACGCCATATACCGACACTAAACTGCAACTTCTTTGCTTTACTGTAAGAGATTTAAGATAGTTTTTAGTAGATTAAAAGACTTGGGTTAAGGGTTTAGGTCTTGCGCAGTTATAGAAATGTGCAGAAACAGTGTTTAAGTGTTTTTAAAGGAAGCATTACAGCCATACCGCAGTGCTGTTTCATAATGAGCTGTGGTGAGATGCCACTGGCTGCATTCACTCTGGTGTTACTGAAGAGAGGCAAGTGGGGTGGGGGGCGTGACATGCAACGTGCAGCCAGTCACGTTGCCCCTGCATAGGTCTGTAGCATAGATCAGAGCTGCACGGTGCAGGAATGAATACATAGCACAGTATATTTGTGTTTTATTTGACGCTATGAGCACGTTACCATCGTATGCCTCTTATTTCAACTGTAGGAGAGACAACTGCAGGCATGGACAGGACATTATCTTTGCTGTCTGTGATCTGCTCTCTCATGAGGTGGCCACTCCGCTTCCTGTGAAGCTACTGCAACGATTATTAGTAAATGCAGCAGGTTGAAGTTGCACAAAGATGAAGTCTGCTGTGTTTCACCGTTTCTCCACAAGTGGTTGATGTTAGGAAATGAAGCAGTGGAGAAACGCTCAGTGCCACAGTTGCACAGACAGGGGCACTTCTGTTCATATGTTTACACAAAGCAAACCGTTGCATGTTTAAATAGAAATTCCTGGACCAAGATAGTGACACAATTTTAAAAATTATCATCTATAAGATACACTTATTCTACTACTTATATATACTATGTCTCCTGTGTGCCTTTTAGGTATCCTTAAAGTGGATTTTGACATTAGTACCAATAAATATTGAAGGTAAACACAAGATCGTGTCAGTATCTCAATCATAACTTACTCTCTGATTTACTGACTGTCTGTGACTTCAACCAGGGTAACAATGACATGATAAGCTTTGTGCTTTCGTCGAGGTTAAGCAATACCTGACTCAAATCAAGGAAGTCTGAAAAAAATGTGCCAGTTCACTAACGGCAAGCATTAACATGTAGAGCCTTAATCATAATCAATACACCTAAACATACTGTCCCCAAACCTTTACCTAGCATATTCATCCTGTCTTTGCCTGTGTGTGTGTGCATTGATTTGTGTGTCTCTGTGTATTTATATTTCCTCCTGCAGATTGGCCATCTGGTGATTGGTCAGAATGGCATCATGTCCACCCCAGCAGTCTCCTGTGTGATCCGCAAGATAAAGGCAGTGGGGGGCATTATCCTCACAGCCAGCCACAACCCTGGAGGCCCCAATGGAGACTTTGGCATTAAGTACAACATCTCCAGTGGAGGTGAGTAGTGACTGGACCGTGCAGTCAAGTGAGCTTCAGTTGTCAGACCCTAAAGGACTTCTGCCTAACATATTACACAGCAAGAAATGAGGAGAAATGTGCATGGAATATTTTTTTTTTTTTGGCCAAATCATCATCTGTATTTGTCGATACATCATTTTCTCACAAGCCTTTTACTTCGTCCCCAGGACCTGCTCCAGAGGGCATCACAAACAAAATATTTGACATCAGCAAAAGCCTGCAGGAGTATCACATCTGCCCAGAGCTGAAAGTGGATCTGTCCAAAATCGGCAAACAGACCTTTGAAGTAGAAACTTTCAAGCCCTTCACAGGTACAGCGACACAGAGCAGAGTCCCGATCTCACTTGAAAGTGAAATAGTTTATTTATTATGCATTTATTTCTTTTTGCTGTCAGGGCTGAACATTTATACCATGGATGGATGAATAATTATCCTCCCAAAGTCTTTAGCTTGACATCTGCTGCTATCTTAATTGTGCTCTGTTTCCTCTTTGTTTGTCCCAGTGGAGATTGTGGACTCTGTGGAGGCCTATGCTGAGATGCTAAGGGGCATCTTTAATTTTGCTGCACTAAAGGAGCTTCTCTCTGGAGCCAGCCACATTAACGTCCGCCTGGATGCTATGCACGGAGGTATGAAACAGCACAGCACAGCTTGGTGACAGCCAGAATAGATTGCAAAGACTGGATTTGGAAATTGAGACAGTGAAAAACAGTTCCCCAAATTAAAATAAATGAGACACGTTGCTGTATATTGAAAGCATTCACTATATCCAAGCTAAGTGTCTTTTATCACATTTAAGAGTGTCACAGTTAAAGGAGTCACATCGTTTATTATTTAGCACTAAGCAATATTGTTTAACAAAGTGTATTGGTCCCCTTTTGAAGACTCTCTGTCCTTGCAGTGGTTGGTCCTTATGTGAAGAAGATAGTCTGTGAAGAGCTGGGTTCTCCTGCCAACTCTGCAGTCAACTGTGTCCCCAAGGAGGACTTCGGGGGCCACCACCCTGACCCCAACTTGACTTACGCTGCCGACCTGGTCAACACCATGAAAGGAGGAGAATATGACTTTGGAGCCGCCTTTGATGGTGATGGTGTAAGTCAACTTTATTTTCTGGGAAGAGGGTTTTACAGCTGTTTAATCAGACAGTATAATGGAGAGAGGTGAGAGCAGAGTTGTGAAGTACTTGAACTGGATTTGAAACTATGATGTCAGCTCACATAAACTGAATTTAATAAACTCTGGTCCATTAGGTTTTTTAATTTGAAGTTTTTCTTTTTAATCGTCCAGCATCAGTAACCAAAATAATGGGCCTGGGTCCTGGTGTGAGACTGATCTGAACTCATTTTGACTTTGGCACAGCAATTTAATGAGGACAGTGAATGCTTTCAGTTAGCTGTTTTTCTCACACTTTTGTCATGTTTCATGAAAGGAACAGACCAAATTTTAATAAATATCAGGGTTCAATGTTAATGTAAACTGCGCAATAATAGCTTCGCCCACATCCTCCAAAGCAGTGGTTCTCAACCTTTTTTCTGTCAAGGACCCCAAATTGATACACATCAGGCCGCATTCTGATATATCAGAATTGGTAATGGGATAAGAAAAGATGTAAAAAATTATTAAGCCATACTTTTCATACAAGTTTCTAAGATACTGTGGAGAATTTCACATTTACCTCTACATGGATTCAGGTGTAAAACATCATCCATAGAGATTCAGCATCTTCCACAAGCAGGGATGACTCTTGCCAATTTACAACCATTTACTACAGTTCAGGAAAGTCAATCTTAAATGTGGTGTTCGTGGCTGTTGACCCCTGTTGGCACTTGTTGTGTCCCTGTTTTCAGGATCGTAACATGGTTCTGGGTAAACACGGCTTTTTCGTGAACCCCTCAGACTCCGTGGCTGTCATCGCTGCCAACATTACCAGCATCCCTTACTTCCAGAAGACTGGTGTCAAAGGATTGGCCCGCAGTATGCCGACCAGTGGAGCCCTGGACAAGTAAAAACCACACGACAAAACAGCTCATTTTAAAGTTTTTCTTCTAGTGTAAACTCAGTGCTGAACTCAGTAAGAGTTATTTTTCTTATGTGGTTTATTGTGTGCCCCAATTTGTTCCAGTGTGGCTAAAACTCTGCAGATGCAGCTGTACGAGACTCCAACTGGCTGGAAGTTCTTTGGGAATCTGATGGATGCTGGCAAACTTTCACTGTGCGGAGAGGAGAGCTTCGGCACAGGTGAGTGAATGTTGTCCAATTTTTGCAGCCAGAACTCCAGTAAATGAAATCAGCCCCTCATTCATGCAATCACTCATTCCCTCTTTTTCTCCTTCTGCAAACCAACTAGGCTCTGATCATATCCGTGAGAAGGACGGCTTGTGGGCGGTGCTCGCATGGTTGTCAATCTTAGCCACCAGGAAACAGAGCGTGGAAGACATCATGAAGGATCACTGGCAGAAGTTTGGCAGGAACTTCTTCACCAGGTCAGGAATGATCCCTGTAGAGTGGTTTATGAAATGTGAGTCCTGAAGGAGCAGTATTTCATGTTTCCAGTGGTAAGAATGTTTTTTTAATAACTGCTGGTCCCAGGACTTTCTTTGGTTGAAACTGTTGCAAAAACACCTACTGGGACGATGCAGGGATGTCAGTTGCTCAAATGATACTTTGGCACCCCTTAGTGGTAAATAAGAGAACTGCAGCACACAAAAGCCCACACACGGTCAATTCATATAGTCGTCTTAAGACACTCTTTTTAAAATTTAACGGTTTTCCATGATTATTGCTACCAAATTAGCATTTTTTTCCAGTTTTGTAAATAGGTAAAATCTTAAAAAGTAACAAACAAGCCATCACTACTATCCCTTCAAATCAGGGTTATAACTTTTATCCTATACCAAATTATTATCTTATACCCAAAATCAGCAATTGTATGATGCCAGTTAGACACCAGAATATATTTTTGTCTTAACCAAGTCCAACTTCACATTCAGGTACGACTATGAGGAGGTCGACTCAGACGCTGCCAACAAGATGATTAAGGATCTGGAGAAGGCAATGTTCGACCCATCCTTCGTAGGCAAGAAGTTCTCCTCGGGTGATAAGACTTACGAGGTGGCTATCTCCGACAACTTTGCCTACACAGACCCTGTGGATGGAAGTGTGTCCAAAAACCAGGTAAGAGGCTGAAAGGCAGAGCCCATTAAAAATGTATTCTGTCTTCTCTTAGTTTTCCGTCTATCATCGGATGTAGTAGTCCATTACCGAAGATCAAGTGTTTTTTACAATGTTGGGCTCAAGCTCATATTTGAGGGATGTTTGTTCAGTCTCTTTTGTTTTAGCTAACAGAGGAAGTCGCACTATGAATCAGCATTATTTAGAATGAACAGTTTTTCTAAAAATACAAATGTATCTAATCCACAGAATGTATAAACCAATCAATGAAGTTTACTAATTATATATATCAATCCTTAATATTTTTCAAAATGATTTACAATTTACTGAATACATAATGAAGTCATATAGAGGAGATTATGGCCAATGAATAACTACCAGCATGCAACAGTGTTATTGCACCTCATAGGTTCTACCTCCTCTGGTTTTTCAGTTACTGTATGTTTTCATTTATCATAATCTCTTCCACGTCTTTTCTCTCCTTCACTCTCACTCTCTCAGGGCCTCAGGATCATCTTCTCTGATGGTTCTAGGATTATTTTCCGTCTCAGCGGTACAGGCAGCGCGGGAGCAACCATCAGGCTCTACATAGACAGCTATGAGAAGGACCCCCAGAAGATTTACCAGGATCCACAGGTCAGGACAATGAGGACTAATTCTAGCAAGCTAGATCCAGACTCGAAAATGAAGTCATCAAATAGGAAAATAAACATTCCTGGAACCAGCACCAGTTTTCCTTTTCTGTATATGAAAAACAACAGAAAAAAAGGAAGAATAAAGATATTAATATAGTTTGTCACCCCATGTAGGTTACAGCAGTCATGGTTTAGCTCACATAGGATTCAAAATCCTTCAAGCTGGCCAGAATGATCCGTAATCTACAAGACAGCCAGCTTGTGTTGGGTGGAGCTCCCCAAAAAGTAGTTCCAGAGCTCCTATTCAACATGGGAGATGATGGAGTTGTTTGGCCAAGTCTTGAGTTATGGCAGCTTATCAGGGCCAGTCTGAAGAGAGGGAAATGCAGCACAAGGGAAAAATAAAGAGCGTGAGTTCCAACTAGACACTTCATAAAGTTCTTTTGACTGGTGTGGACAGGGAGGTGATGTAGAACACGAAAGTGAGACAAGACCAAAAAAAAGTGAATAAAAGTTCTACTCAAGCCCTTTATCTTCTTCAGTGCTTACACACTATAAGCGAACAGATAAGCAGAAACATATTGCTGCAGAATCTTAACTTGACAGATAAATGGCCAGTGGGTTAATGGTTCAGTTGGCTGACTTTGGGTAGGTTTGATTTACACACCTAGAGCGATAACTTTAAGATTTAAGAAGCTTTTGAAGGAAAGAGGAAGCACAACAAACATTTCTGCCAACAGCAGTTGTTTTGTGAATCCAGACTATTCTGCTCTTTTCTGGTTGCTTTGGTGTGAGAAATATTGTCATTCTATTATGTTAACCTTCTTAAAGTTTACTGAAATTATTTAATTGTGGCAGAGCTGGCATTGGGCCAGGGTAGTCAACATTTGTGCTCATAAGTTACAAACTCCAGCTCAAAGGAAAAGCGTGACCAGCTCCTTCACATGATTGCATGGTTTATATAAAGCATTTTACTGAAGATCTTTTATTTAGTGTTACATTAAAGAAATAATTTGACACTTTGGGAAGTAAAATAATTAGCTTTCTTGCCAAGAGTTACACAAGAAGATCGATACAGCTCTCATTTCCGTATGATAAATGTGAAGATACAACTACCCGCCATTTATCTTAGCTAACTCACTTTGAACAAAGCTAGAATAGGTATTTTCCCTGGTTTCCAGTCAATGTGCTAAGCTAAGCTAACCAGCGGCTGGCTGTATAGCTCCATATTTAGTGAACAGATAGGAGATCAACTCTCAGCAAGAACGTGAATTGAACGTGAAGTGTATTCCACAAAATGTCAACTATTCTTTTATAAATTATAATAATACACATCCCACGCTATAAGAAAATGCATGTATTGGAGGATGTGTGAGAACAGCATGACCTGTACAGGAAGTCATGTGTTGTGTGTGTGTTTTGTGTTGCGTCTGTACAGGTGATGCTGGCCCCCCTGGTAGACATCGCCCTGAAGGTCTCTCAGCTCCACGAGACGACTGGACGCACTGGCCCCACTGTGATCACATGATTCCTCTGCCACACTGCCTCCACTCACCCTCAGCAACAGGATACCTCCGCTCTCTCGGGGGTGAAGCTGCCCTTGAATGCTGTTCTGGCTTCAGTTCCTGGCCCTCTTTTAAACAGAACTGGATGAAAAACTGAAACTCAACTTGCAGGCTGAATACAAGAAAATACATGAGGAGCTCTTGATTTATCCTAAACTGAAAGTTAACCACTGCCACTGTTGAGTGTTTCCCTAAAACATTGGAGAAAATCTGCCTGAGGAGTGACCTGCCAGACATAAAGACACTGTCACATGCTCATACAAATTTGTGAAAAAAGATTAGGCATTAGAAACAAGGGATCTTCTGTCAATGTGAATTAAGGGAAACACAATTTAAAGATTCAAAAGTGGACTGAACAACTTAAATTGAATGTGCCTCATGTAATTTCAGAAACCATGTTTATTTTATTGTCCAGATCTGTTCCTGAACGATATCATTAAAAGGAGAAACTGCCAAACTGACCATAAATCAGCAATTTGGGGCAACCTCACCTCACATTTCCCTCACTGACCTGGTGCCTTCCCCTTCCCTCCTGCTCTCCAAAACCACCAGTATAGCCTCTTGACCTGAACCATAAACCACAGCTAAAGCCTTGACAATTAACACATCCACCATTAATAAAAGAACCTTACATAAAAGAACTACCCTGGTCATGTTTTAAATCTGTTTTTTTTTTCTTTTTTAATTTCTGGTTACACAATAGTTAAAGGTCTAGTGTGTAATATTTAGGAGGCTCTGTTGGCAGAAATATAATCTGATGTTCATAGGTATGTTTTCATCCGAGTATAACCACCTCAATATAGGAATCGTGTTTTTTGTTACCTTAAAATGAGCCTTCCATGGAGCCCTCCATGTTTCTGCAGCCCACAAGGGACAAACCAATCACTGGCTCTAGATAGGGATGTTTGTGGCCACCGTAGTTTCTCCTTCGTGCGGAAGGGGAGGGTGAAGCTACAGAGTTGTGATCTACACCGCTAAATGCCACTAAATCCTACACACTTAATGTATTTAAATCGTATGCAGATGTCTATCATAGGCACACAAACTCACAATACACAAAAGTATTTATAAATACTGTACTTTTGCATCAAGAGACCAACTGTTGCTTGGCTAAGTGTTTGAGAACGCTATAATTGTGTAAAAGCAAGCACTCACAAGAGAGACTGAAACGTGTGTGTGTGTGTGTGTGGGGGGTAGTATTAATGATAGCATCTTTTCAGTCTGGGAATTATCTAGAATAATTCTAGATAAATGCAAAGATTGTAGGAGAATCCTCCAGGAGAATAAAGTGCTTCGAAAAAGTCAATACCTCTCCAAAGACATTCCTGAGGCAAGCAGAGAAGCACAAACTGATGAATTCTCTCTCTCTCTCGCAAGTCTTCTTGTGTAATGAGATAGTCATTGTAATCCTGATTAATGATTAGAGTTATAAAGTGTCAGGAGGTCGGGGGATCCCGCGGGCTATATCTGAAGACAAACAGACAAGAGCTGAAACAGATTTTTCGTTTAATGCTTTGAAATGTAATTTTTCACAAGGGAAACACGTCAATGATGTTCGAGGCAGCTTACACCATTTGACATTCTACAGGTGTTGGATTGGTGTCAACCTTTTCCTCATACACTACTATATCTGGAAGTAAATTGGCTGCGTATTCGTTAGTAGGAATGATGGGGTGGAAAATCAGGTGCATCCACGAGCAGCACAGGGAATGCTCTGTGTTTCTCTCTGAACACAAAAGGGAAAATTAACCTCAATCACAGATGGCACATTTTCCGGCCAATTTCTGTCAGGCATGTCAGTGTTATTCATACTGACCAACACAAACAGCTCCACCTGTTTGCACTAATCCCCCTCCCCCCATAAAAAAAAAAAACGAGCTTGAACTAATTCACCATTCAAGTTATTTTTTTTCTCACAGATATTTAAAAAAGTTTGATCTATGACGTAGTTAACGTTACTGCTATTTTAACTTTCCTGTAATTTTATTGACTCGAGCTTTAAGACAAATTTCAAATGACATTGTCGACTATTAGGAGCTACATTCAAATCTTTTATCTGTTTACATTAAGACTGAGGGTAGGGCTGTTAAGGCCTATTGCCAACCTTCAAAAGGTACAGTCTGTGGCATTTGGGATGTATAACAGTTTTTCTATTCCTTTCAGAGTCACAATAACAGGGTGGAAACTTTTTTCATGTTGCATTGTTCAGACCCTGTCAGGCTGACATAGTGCAATACATAATGTGTTCCTCTTGTGCGGCTCCTAATGGCTTACAGGCTGTATTTGGATTGGCTGTCATTACATCAGGTAATCACAATAAGGCTTACATTAAGCTGGCCTGCTCCACAGCTATTAGATGTCCAAATGGCTTTTTCTGGAGCTGGCATGGGGCCTTGTGTTTTTAGAGCGGACTGTTCATTGCTCTCCTGCAAGAGGAGGGCAATGCCGCAGACAAAGACATCATTCTCAAGTCCTCAAATGAGGATGAAGGAAAGCATAGGCTGTGGCTGTGCACCGAGCAGTCAGCTTTTACTCCTCTGGTTCTTGTGGTTAGTCTTTTCCTTCGCTCACACACAATTTTCTGTGTCAGGTGATAGAGTATTAGAATTAGGAAAAGTTAAGCTTCCATAACACCTGACAACATTAAATACTTTTATCCTTCCAAAACTAATAATTCAATTCCCATTTAATGTCATCACTCACGGTTAGAATTTGTAGGTTGCTTTTCCTTCAGGATGCCGCCAGTGAGGATACAGTGGTTGTCATGGTTAAAATAACCTTATTGTGGACACAGGGAAAAAAATATTCTGATGGCACCCCCTCTCTGTGCACTGTGTACAGTGTTCCTGGGCTGTAGCATTTCATGGCTCCAAGTTTGCTGTGTGGTTTTCTGATTAAACAAATTTATTTAGGGTTATGTACCATGTATGCAGAGTGGTTTTAAAGCTAGTATCCACAGGTAATGACCCTTTTAATGTTGATGTTGTGCTCTAGTGTGTGCTCAAACAAACTTATATTTTACCAAGTTAATGCAAATCAATAGCCAGTGACCCTGGGGCATTTGGGGGCAATACACCTTTTTTCACAACAGCCATTTTGATCAGGGTTCAGGGTGCTGATATTGTGCATCTTGGCTCACTGGAAAGACACATTGATAATGCCTGTATTTACCCAACAATTAAAATGGCTGCTGTGAATGAGGTCAAACACCAGTTCAATTTATTGTAATCCAAAGCTATGATTCATGTTTTATTTCCCTTATGCTCATTGAAATGTTCACATTACTAATTAACATTGGAAAAAATAGTAAAGGAGGCTACAGACCTTTTTTACAGCAGCATTTCATTTGGCATGAAATAGTAGAGTAAACACAGGTATTTTACGGTTGTGGTACCTTTAGAGCCTTCAGTGACCCTACATGCAAAATAGCAGCACTTTGCCTTAGTATTATTGGTAACACCTGTGTTTACCCTACTATTTCATGTCAAAATGGCTGCTGTGAAAAAGGTCTATTGGTAACTGTATTGTAAAATAGCAAAATACTCTACATCATTGCAGCCTTTCAACTGGGCGTGCATAACAAAAATCAGAAATCCTGTCAACTATACCAGCAAATGCCACTCAATTTAAAATTACTCAATCTGCTGGCTTTTGGACTCATGAATGATGTTGAGCCAAAGCTAGAAAACAGAACTTATACTTGTCTGTCTTGTTAAAACAAAATATCCCCTCGAGCTCGTCCACAAGGACATGAACAAGCTTTGATAGGGTGTGCAAGGTTAACAAAGTCTCAGGCAATACCAAAAAACCTGGAATTAATAGATGTAGAGGCTCCACATGAGTCATCAACATCTTAACACTGAATTTTCTGTCTGGAGCTGTAGTGTACAGGATGATGTGTGAGGCCATAAAAACTGTTCAGCAATGGGACGAGATGAGTTGGAACATTTCTGACCACACAGTCGAAACCAAGAAGTGTGGAGGCTGCTTCATGTCCTCTCATCCATCCTTCCTCTGGCTCTCAGTCAATAAGAAGACAAATTCGCCAGGAAACACCACACTTCTATGGCCCATTGTACTCTGAAGTGTGTGTTTAATGGGGAGACTATTTGGACCTTTTCTAGGAATTGAAATGAAAGAGAAACTGGATATTTAGATTTTATACAGTACCAGAAATTCTCAGCATGTTAAAAATGAATTGTATACTGTTGGCAGGCAACAATGCATTTTTGACTTAAACTTGAAATCAAGCTGTTTTGTTCAACAAAAAAAGTTGTTCTCTTATCACTTTACTTATCCTCATTCCATATGTGCTGCACTAAAAATACAAACAATATGTAGTACACAATCAAACCCAATGATGTATTGTGTGTTCCATGTGTTCAACTGCAAGTAATTATTGTTCTGCTGCCTGAAACTTCACATATTTGGAGGCCTTGTAGAGAACAATGGGAGAATATAAAGTTGCTTTAGCAGTAGTGTCTACATGTATCTATTTTATTGAAACGGTTTTAGGGAGGTTTTTGAACTGAATCTCAGGAAATTACATATTTTGGCATGGGGCTGCACAGTTAATCAAAATAATTATCAAAACTGAAATATGGCCAAGTGCATTATCAAAAGATCAAAGGCTGCAATTTTTGATAACGATAAAATGTGTGACGAAACAGCATTATAATGACGTACTGTAGTGGTGCAGAGAAGCATTGGCCTACAAATCTAGCTCTCCAGATGTAAGAAAACATGTTTGTTTGTTACAACCCCAACAAATGTTACATCATCATGATTTTAATAGTTTTTTCAATGAAAATGAAAATTGTGAATCGTATTGAAATCATAACATCTGTCAAACGAAGTGCAATATGATTTACTGTATTGTGCAGCCCTACTTTTGCAGTTTTCAATGTGTTTTCTGTAAAACCGTATCCAAAACCCACAAGAATTGCCTGGTCTCAGTGAAGATTTCCTTTTCTTTTAATTTGGGGAGACTACAGTATTGCCGTGGAAAAGTTCCCTCTATCCTGCATTTGTTGTATATTAGTACTGACTGTAGTAGTTTGTTCCAAAACAACATCTCGTGGGAATAGAGTAACAGTGCAACAGGCGTTTGAAAACCAAGCCCATGAAAATGCAATATTTAGCACAGAGTTAAACTCTGAGTTTGACGGAGATGGAGGTTGGACAGGCGTGGGTGGGGTGGATGTAAAAGATGCAGTGTGGCCAGTACTGTCTGTCAGCCATTTAATATGTCTAAACTGGGATGGAAACCCTTCCACTGATTGAAGAATGCACAAAATGCTAGCACATTTTCAGACAAATGTACAAATTATTAGTCATTTGAGGATGTGAAGGAAAGGAGATAGATAGAAGGTTTTGAAGAAATGTAAAAAATACTGGGGAGATGTGGCAGATATTTTTTTAAAAGGCCATCATCACCCTCATCCTTTCATTCTCTTTTATTGACTCAGACATCATTGCCAACTTTGTAACAAAGGGCCTCCCTGTCCATGTGCTGTGGCCGCTGGAGAAATCCTCAGGGATCTGCTCTTCAAAGAGACCTTCAGAACCCTAATCCACTCCACCATGAAAGTAAGATGACTTTCACCATGCATGGTTGCAATTTTAATAATCATATCCTACT